ACAGTAGCTGGTATTTTGGCCCATTCCTCCATGCAGATCTTCTCGAGAGCAGTGATGTTTTGGGGCTGTCGCCGAGCAACACAGACTTTCAACTCCCGCCACAGATTTTCTATGGGGTTGAGGTCTGGAGACTGGCTAGGCCACTCCAGGACTTTCAAATGCTTCTTACGGAGCCACTCCTTTGTTGCCCGGGCGGTGTGTTTTGGATCATTGTCATGTTGGAAGACCCAGCCTCGTTTCATCTTCAAAGTTCTCACTGATGGAAGGAGGTTTTGGCTCAAAATCTCACGATACATGGCCCCATTCATTCTGTCCTTAACACGGATCAGTCGTCCTGTCCCCTTGGCAGAAAAACAGCCCCATAGCATGATGTTTCCACCCCCATGCTTCACAGTAGGTATGGTGTTCTTGGGATGCAACTCAGTATTCTTCTTCCTCCAAACACGACGAGTGGAGTTTATACCAAAAGTTCTACTTTGGTTTCATCTGACCACATGACATTCTCCCAATCCTCTGCTGTATCATCCATGTGCTCTCTGGCAAACTTCAGACGGGCCTGGACATGCACTGGCTTCAGCAGCGGAACACGTCTGGCACTGCGGGATTTGATTCCCTGCCGTTGTAGTGTGTTACTGATGGTGACCTTTGTTACTTTGGTCCCAGCTCTCTGCAGGTCATTCACCAGGTCCCCCCGTGTGGTTCTGGGATCTTTGCCCACCGTTCTCATGATCATTTTGACCCCACGGGATGAGATCTTGCGTGGAGCCCCAGATCGAGGGAGATTATCAGTGGTCTTGTATGTCTTCCATTTTCTGATGATTGCTCCCACAGTTGATTTTTTCACACCAAGCTGCTTGCCTATTGTAGATTCACTCTTCCCAGTCTGGTGCACGTCTACAATACTTTTCCTGGTGTCTCTTTGGTCTTGGCCATGGCGGAGTTTGGAGTCTGACTGTTTGAGGCTGTGGACAGGTGTCTTTTATACAGATGATGAGTTCAAACAGGTGCCATTCATACAGGTAACGAGTGGGGGACAGAAAAGCTTCTTACAGAGGACGTTACAGGTCTCTGAGAGCCAGAGATTTTCCTTGTTTGAGGTGACCAAATACTTATTTTCCACCCTAATTTACGAATAAATTCTTTACAAATCCTACCATGTGGATTCATGGATTTTTTTTTCACATTCTGTCTCTCACAGTTGAAGTGTACCTCTGGTGCAAATTACTGACCTCTGTCATCATTTTAAGTGGGGGAACTTGCACAATCGGTGGCTGACTAAATACTTTTTTGCTCCACTGTATCTCGCGCCAAAACTTCTGAACTGGTGGACAGAACCAAAGAGCGTGGATATAATTGTCTGGTGAATTGGTTTGGCAGTGTGAGCAGTTGTTGGTAGACGTAAAGCCCATCTTGAACATCCGATGACCTGTATAGTGCACTCTATGTAATATTTTGTATTGAATTAATTGAAGACTGGGATTTCTAATTAGATGAAAGGTTTTTAAGCAAATCTGAGACCAGAAGTTTAGGTCTAAGTTAACTGATAAATCCGCTTCCCATTTTGCAATAGGAAGGGATATTGATTCATCTGTTTTAGAAAGCATTCTGTATATTTTGGATAGTAATTTGGGGGTTTTAAGAGTAAGAAATTGAAACACACTTGGTGGGGTTTGTAATTCAACTTGACCTGGTTTAAATTTCTTTTTTACTATGGATTTAATTTGTTGATATTCTAAAAATCTTTTCTTGTTGATCCCATATTGTGTAACTAGTCCGTCAAATGAGATAAATTCTGTTCCTTCTAGTATATGTTCTAAATATTTGATTCCTGAAAAACCTGCTCGTTTTCTCTACATAATTAAAGCTCTAGTTCATCATCATCATGTTATAACGCTGAAAACAGCCTCTGTAATCTGGTTAAACTGGTTACTTTGCTGCTTTTCTGAGATTAAATATGAGAATCTCTGAATATTGGGCACCTTTACTCTGACTGCTTTCTCCTCATATTGCAGCATTTAGTGTGTAACCTTACCCAAAGTTATTAAGTGTATACGTTTTTCATCACTGTGTGTTTTTCTCTGGTCTGTCTATCCCAATATTTTAGAAATAAAATCTTTTCTTTTTTGCTTTTGTTGACTTTTCAGGAATTTAAATCATATTATAAGCTCATGAAATACATCAGTTACAAGCACATTACACCTGCATCTTAAACCTCTGAGTATGTTCTAGTTAAAGAGTCAGCATTATCTGATCTTGACCTCTTCTCATGTTTTCAGTGTGCAGGCTTTCATGTCACAAACTCTCAGGTTACACAGAGGTGGTGACCCCTGTGGTTTGCCAAGCTTTAAACTGCTGAACTGTATTTGATGGACCTCAACCACATAACGCAGTATTAATACTGCTTACAAATCAATAATCTCTTACAACTTAATTTATGATAAATATAAATCTTTTACTTATGTTGGTGCTTTGTGACTTTTATTTAAGCGTGATTTTGACTGCAAGACTTTTACCTGTAAAAACGTGTTTTTACTTTGGTTTATTGTTGGATGCTTGTTTGTGGAACAATTCTTTTGCACTTCTTTCACTTTAACTTGATCCCAAAAACGCGCATTTTAGGTTAACTGGTGATTAAATGAAGCATAGGTGTGGATGTGAGAGTGTATGGTTTGCTCTTCCTCTCTCTCTCTGGGCGAGACCTGTTAGGGTGCACCTTATCTCTTGTCCCAAATCAGGTGGAATAGGTGCAAGCTAAATTTGTGGGTGGATGAATAATTGTATCTGGATTACTCTGGGAACTCAAGGTTAATTGCATAGTTGTGTAAACATGAGCATAATTTAAACTACTTTTAAAATGAAATTAGTAAGAATATGATTAAGTACAAATAACTCCAGAAAATATGTGATAACAGCTGAGACACAAATATACATGATTGGTATGTGTCTTTAATCCTTACGTCACTTTAGGTCTCTGATCAAAATCACAGATTACGCGCTACTAGCTCTTTGTTTCTGTCATTCTCCACTTTCCAAAATAAATTAGTAAATAAATAAACCTCGGTTCTCTCATTTTGCCTGGTTACTGGTGAGGCGCATCCAGCTTTGAATTCCTATTGGTCAGAGAGGAGTCACTGCGCGTGCGGACTCAGAGGCTGTAGTTTCATTTTGTGGCAAAATTCAAACAATAAACGGTTGTATTAATTTTTCCTTCTTATACTGCAAGTATTGAATTGAAAATGAGGACGTTTATGATGCTGCTTCTTTACTGGACAGCGTCTGTGTCTGCAGGTAAGCTTCATAAAAATGAAACTGTTCTTTAGAGATAGTGTTGCTCTCAGGTGGCTCACGTGTTACTGTAAACAGACTCTCGGCTTGCATATATTCAAGAGTCAAGGTTTATTTTTATTTCGCAGGGTTGTTGTTGTTGTTTTTTTTAACAGAAATACACAGGCTTCAACAAGATGTTGCTTCTCACCAGCATCTACAGTACAATGATCAGTAAAACAAATAAAATACAGCGATAACAAATCTAAAATAAGGATAAATAGCAATGACGCAGCAGCCTGCAGAGACACTGAGCAAACTCCAGTGTAAATAATCAGATTGATTCAGCTAGCAGCAGTCCTCTCACAGAGAGGGATTAAATTAGGTCAGATTAAGTGTGTGTTTATGGTTTGTAAAGGGAGGGGCCAAAGTACATTTATCAGTCCCACAGTTTGTGCAAAGAAGCCTTCCAGCATCCTGCTGGTTCTACAGCTGATGCTCCTGCTCCTCTTTCCAGATGCTGGAGTGAGAACAGGCCGTGAGAGGGCTGGTTTGGGTCCCTGGTGTTTGTAGCTGTTTGCAGACAGCCTACAAACAGCTACAAACATCAAAACCTAAATGAGTGTTGGTTTACAAATTACTTTTTGTTGAAATTAAATTTCTAATTGTAGAAGAAGAAAATTTTAAGCTGCTCATAATGTTTTATGGTGTAAGGTATAGAAGTGTAATATTAGCAAAAAGGGAAAGAAACAGTTGTAATCTGCACAATACTAAAACATGAATTCATTGGCAGCCTGTGGTCAGGTTAATGCCATAATAAGGCCTGTAAATCATTACTGATGCAAAATGAAAATATAATCAAGTCAAAATGACCTACAAACACCAGTTTTTACAAAACGAATTTTAAAGGTTTTTAAAATAAGATGATCAGAAAAGATAAAACATTGATTCATATTTTTTTTTGTATTTATACAGGAGACACTATAGTTTTTTTATTTTGAAAATATGCTGATTTTTAAAGCCGTGTCTCACAACATTAAACATTTCTTACAGTGACCCACTCGCTGAAGTATTTCTACACTGCTTCCTCTCAAGTCCCAAACTTCCCAGAGTTCGTGGTTGTTGGGATGGTTGATGAAGTTCAGATGGTTCAGTTTGACAGCAACACCATGAGAACTGTGCCCAAACAGGACTGGATGAACAGAAATATAGATGAGCAGTACTGGGAGAGAGAGACTGGGGGCTTTGTAAGTGCCCAGCAGGTGTTCAAAGCCAACATTGAAATTGCAAAGCAGCGCTTCAACCAAACTGGAGGTTTGTTTATGTTTTATTGTTTTTTTACTGATATTTGCTGTTAATGTTTTCAGCATTTATTTTAGCCATAAACAGATTTGCATACATACATTTTAAAAATACTTCATGCAGATTAAAGATTTAAATACAGGATGACTCACGATGAATGTAAAGGGCAGATGGAGGGCAGCTAGTGAATCAGGAAGTGCAGAGGATGAGTAAAGAAGACGTGAGGGCAGCTGTAAGAGGATGAAGAGTGAAAAGGCAGTTTGTCCAGATCATACCTGTGGAGTTATGGGGATGTTTAGGAGAGACAGCAGTGGACTTTTTAACCAGACTTTTAACGTCTGGGGAATGGGAAAGCAGCAGTATGGCTTCATGCTGAGAAAGAGCATCACAGACGTGATGTTTCTTTCAGTGTTGATGGAGAAGTTTAGAGAAGGTGTTGCAAAGAAAGCACATGATAAGATGTCAAAAGGTGAACTGTAGTGCTGCATGAGAAACTCAGGGATGGCAGAGAAGTATGTGAGGGTGGTGCAGGACATGTATCTGGACAGTGGTGTGTGTGGTTGGAGTGACAGTTGGGTTCAAGATGGGGGTGGGATTACATCATGGATCTGCTCTGAGCCCCCTCATGTTTGTAGTGGGGATGGACAGGTTAACAGATGAGGTCAGACTGAAGTCTCCATGGACTTTGATGTTTCCAGAAGGTATTGTGATCTCTAGTGAGAGCAGGGAGCAGGTGGAAGGGATGGGGTTATACACTGGTGAGAAGAGAAATGAAAATCAGTAGAAGCAACACAGAGTAAATGTGTGAATGACAGTGTAACAGTGTTACAGAGAGGATGCAAGAAGCAGAAACAGTGATGATTATTAATTTAAATGCCTGGGTCAACCATCCAAAGTAGCAGGCAGAGCACAACAGAAGTGCAGGGTGTCAGGGTGTGATCTGTTGCATAAAGACAGAAGCAAGAGTGAAAGGGAAGGTTTACAAGAGGGTATTGAGACCTGCTGCGATGCATGGTGTGGAGATGAAGGCACCGAGTTGAAGGTAACAGAGCTGAGGATGATTTTATTGGGAGTGACCAAGTGTATGAAGCGCCTTGAGGCGACTTTTGTTGTGATTTGGCGCTATATAAATACAATTGAATTGAATTGAATTGAATTGGCAAGGCTGAGATGGTTTGGATGTTGAATGTGGAGCTGAGAAGAGAAAGACCTTGGAGGAAGTTCATGGATGTAGAGAAGGAGGATCTGCTGTGGCGACCCTTAAAGAGAGTGACCGTGGGTGAGTGCTGAGTGTTTGTATATGTGTGCATGAGGGTGGGAATGCATGTTTGTGTCTGTGTGTGCCTGTTTGTCTGTGTCTATATGTCAGGTCGGGTCTTAGACTCCACCTCTCTGGGAACTCCAAGGCCTATCTCCCCTCACCACACTCCCTGCCGGTGATTGATGCCCTCAGGGGTCGGTGCATTGGTGGTTCTTGGTGTCCGGGGCTGGGCACTCAGGTATGTACCAGCTCGCACCCGGTGGCTACCTGGCGGGGCCTGGCCAAAAAAAAAAAAAGAAAAAAAGAAAAAGAGAGTGACCGAAAGAGGAAGAAGAAATGAAGAATTGTGAAGTCAAATAACGTTTTTCTCTTTCATTAAAACTTTGAAAACAGTATTTGTACTGAGCTCACATCTTACATAACTTGTCTTTAAGGATATTTATTATTATGTTTATTGAAACCAGTTGTAGCAACTCGCTGCTGAACAGGCTTCTCTGTCCTGAAACCCTCCTTCTGTGGAAGCTGTGTTGAATCAGGTCAGGTGTTTTAGTCTCTGTTGACTTGTGTCTCTGTTTATATGTTGGATCTCACTCTGGTTCACTGTCGTCTTCTTCTCTGTTCTTCTTTCAGGTGTTCACATTGTCCAGCGGATGTACGGCTGCGAATGGGACGATGAGACGAATGAGGTGGACGGATATGAGCAGTTTGGTTATGATGGAGAAGACTTCATAATATTTGACCTGCAGACAGAGACGTGGGTCGCTCCAAAACGACAGGCTGTGGTGACCAAACACAAGTGGGACAGTAACAACGCTTTTATAACCAGTGTGAAGAACTATTACACTCAGATTTGTCCTGAGTGGCTGAAGAAGTATCTGAACTATGGGAGGAGCTCTTTAATGAGAACAGGTATCACATGACCAGACTTAGTGTGATAATTTACCTCATTTTTATTAAGTAATACAACTTTTTTATGACCAACACAGTTAAGTTCAGTGTATTTTCTCTCTTCCTCTCTGTCTGCTAATCTCGTGTGTTTTTTTTAAACAATAATCAAAATGTAATTTATCCGTTAAATTTCAAAACCATAACTTCAGCCTTTTACAATGTGTTTCCCGCTCCCTTCAAATATTTTTCTTATTTCTTTATTTTTATATTACAGAGTCTTTATTTGACTCTGTAATATCCTTCAGATGGTACTACATTAATGGTACATTAATATGTGTTAGCATGCTGTTAATACAGAAACAGTGACCTGTGTTTCGCTTTACTTTCCAGTTCTTCCCTCAGTGTCTCTCCTCCAGAAGTCTTCCTCCTCTGCCATCAGCTGCCACGCTACAGGTTTCTATCCTAACAGAGCCGAGATGATCTGGAGGAAAGATGGAGAGGAGACTCATGAGGGTGTGGAGATAGGAGAGATCCTCACCAACAATGATGGGACCTTCCAGATGAGTGTTAACCTGGATCTGAGATCTGTTCCAGCTGAAGACTGGAGGAGGTACGACTGTGTGTTTCAGTTCTCTGCTATAAACGAAAATGTCACCACCACACTGGATAAAACAGCCATCAGGACAAATGAAGGTAAGAAAATTATCAGAAATGATGAAGAGGTGTTGTTTTTATTGTTTTGTGTTTGAGCTGATGGGTGTCATAAAATATTGACTTTATTTTCAAAATCTAATTTTACTCATTTTATAGCCCAGAATGGACCTCCTGTATGAACTCATGATATATAAACAGTCTAAAACAGAAAAAACCCCACAAACACAAATAATTTTTATATATAATAAACTAATCAATCATGGTTTGCAGTTGTAACACTGACACTTTAAATGTTTGGATTTAATATAATATTAGTTTAGTATTAGTATAAGTCAAAGAAGTTAAAGACACTAAGGACACAAATTTCAATTTTGTTTTTCTCTTTATTTTCATTCAACATTTTTTGTTAATCATTGAACAAAAATTTTAGTGGTTTTTTTTTTGCAAAACAATATTTAAAATTAATAAATCTGTTGTTTGCTGCTCTTCTTCTTTGTTTTTTCGTTTGTTTGTTTTTAGCCTCGACAGAAGTGCCCAGCATCACGATCGGCCCCAGCTCCAGCCCCACTGCCGTCCCCATCAGCGTCCCCATTGTCACTGCTGCTCTTGTTCTTGCTGGTGTTGCACTAATCGGATTCATTATTTACAAAAAGAAAACTGGTGAGTGAACCAAAGTGATGAATTCAGTATTTTTAGTGTTTTTCCAGGTTGCACATTAAAACAAGCTTCAGGTCCTGGTACAGCAATGATGTTTAAAGCCCCAGAGTGATGAGACTGTAACAGTATTATCATAGTGAGAGAAGGAACCAATAGTAAATAAAGTAAAAGGTAAAGTAACATAGAGAGCTTTGTAAACCAGTTTGAGTTAGTGGTGTAGGGATCAGTGTTCCTGTATTTACAGCTATGATCACTGACATGTGATTCTTTCTTTTATTTACAGCTAAAGCTTCTAAACCTTGTAAGTAAAATTCCCATGTAGACATTTTGAGCTGAAACCTGTTCACATTAAAATCTGTTTCACTGAATGTGAATTAGAGACTAAAATTAAATGCATGGAAACAAAGCAGATGTTGGAAATTAACAACAGCATCACCACAGAGCAGCTCAGCCGGTTGCTGAAGTTTTTATGTTTTGATTTTGTCTGTCTGGTCTGATTTTTGTAGACATGAAGACTTCACCTGAAGATGATCCTGAAAAGAGCCCTTCAGGTGTGTCTGTTTGTGCTTGGATTGGAGGATTTTTTTTGCATCCTCATAAAAATAGTAACGTAGTGGCTTTATTTTTTACTTTTTCTAAATATGAAAGCAGAAGGTTAGATATTCAGACCATGTGTTCATATAGTCAGTTATAATAGTTTATAGTTACACAGCACTAAACAGAACAAAGCAATTAAAGCAGCAGTACTAAAAACAAGTACCTTGGAAACATAGACGGCCCTGTCTCTGTTCAGTATGTTCAGTAATATTTTACAGTAACAAACTAAATCTGTGAATCACTGCAGGTCCTGTTACTTTAATCTGTTTGTCTGCAAATGCTCATCGGTCTCTTAGCTTCAACGTTTCCCTGAACTCCTCAGGATCTTCATTTATTCTGTTCTCTGTCATTTTTCACCACCACACATCCTCATTCTTCTTCTTCTTCTTCCTGGATGTTGCATAATAAACTTTTCTCCATGTTCACTAACTGAGATTTCTGTAGTGCTCACATAAATATGTTTTATAAGCACTGCAAAATTTTCTGACCTACACAATGAAACAGTGCTCACATATGTTAAAAAGTTAAATATTCAAGTGACAGAAACAGAACCATAAACCCTCTTGCAAATGAGAAAACTTTCTCCTCGTGCCTGCGTTTGTGTTCATGCTGTTTGTATTAAACACTATCATTAACATCAACAGATCATATTATTTTTTTAGTTGAACATAATCATTTTGTGTTTTTCCTCCTCAGATTCAAAACCTTCTTCAGACATAACCAGCAAAACTGAGCTGATGACAAGTACGTACAGGCTCTATATGACACACAGCCTTAATCTTTGTGTGGTACTGCATGTTTTTACTCATGGAGTTTTATACTTTGATGCTTTTTGAATTATTTAAAACATTTCTGAACTGTTCAGCTGGTCTGACTCACCAGCTGTAGATTTCAGGTATAAACCTGCCATCGCCTTCATATCACACGTTTCTTCTCCTACAGTCGATTGTTTTTGGAGTTTAAATGCTCTTATCTAAAGGAAACAACATCCTCAGAGGGAGCAACATACATGCTGAACATGGCAACCACTCGCAAAGATTTAGATATAACAAACTAGACATTTTTATGCTCTTTCTTATCTTAGTAAGAATCAGTCGCTTCCACTAAAACCTCATATATGAAGAATAATGAGGCCATATAACAGATTTTACTGAGGAACAAGTAACCAGTTAAACTGTATCACTAGTGACATGATAGACGAGGAAAGTTTGTGTGGAGATGGTCATGGCCCAGTGTGTGTGACAGCTCCTCTATCATGATGAGCTTTTGACCTGAATGTTTTTTTTCTTTAGAGTAATTCTGACAAAGAGTGAAATCTGGAACAAAGGTAAGTGACGTCTCTGAACACATCACATGTACCACATACAGTCATCTTTGTGTTGTACTGAATGCATTTAAAGAAACCCTTAATTTTTCACGTTGATTGCATTTGCTGATGCATGAAGAATTTTTCATTCACTCCTCGTTAATGAAAGCTGAATCTTTCTTTGAACAGGAGACACTTTGAACACTTGGACTAACTTCACTTGATGAGGATTCTGCATCACTGAACTCCTGAGAAAACATTTCTACTGTAATGGACATTTTCTATTCCAGCCAGGACACAACTGTCCTGACACAACCGCCCTGGGGCACGGGGTGGCTGTAACTCAGGACGTAGAGCAGGTCACCTACTGATCGGAAGGTTGGTGGTTCGATCCCAGACTCCTCAAGTCTGCATGCTGAGTATCCTTGGGCGAGATACTAACCCTGAGTTGCTCTCTGATGCGTCCATCGGAGTATGAATGTGTGTGAATGTGTGTGACTGTAGTTAGAAAAGCACTAAGTACAGATAAAGTGCTTGTGAGAATGGGTGTGATTGGGTGAATGTGCCTTGTTGTATAGAGTGCTTTGAGTACTCCGGGAGAGTAGAAAAGTGCTTTAAAAAAATCAGTCCATTTACAACTTGTGACTGAAACATACACGAAGGAACCAAATTTTTACTTTTATGTCACAGGAAAAAAAGAGAATTACTATTTTCTGTGAGAAAAAATACTTTTTAGCCAAACTAACTTTATAAAGTGCTTTAATACAGCAAGTCCTCAACAAAGTGCTTAACATTGAAAACAGAATAAAAATGAAAAAAATAAAATAATTAATTCATTAATAACAACAACAATTATAATAATATTAACAATAATTAGACCATAACAATGAAATAAACACATAAAATAAAACTACATAAATAAAAACACTGAAAAAAACATAAAAAACAATTTAATTTTTTTAAGTATAATGTTATACTGTAGGTCTTTTTTATGCAATAATAAGTAAAGATGGTCCTGAAGAAGAAAAACGACATCTGTAGGAATTGTGTTTATTTTCCTCAGTGTTGGTCTGAGTGTGTATTAACATTATTCAGTTTTAATGCTGCTTTGCTACAGCAGTTAGTTCTGCCTGTTTGATTTTAGTTTAACTCTGGATGACTTTCCTGACACAACCTCAAACAGGATTTGTGTTTTCAGCTGGAATTGAACCATCAACCTTTTACTGACAAGGTCAGAATGCTAACCACTGCACCTTTGGAGATATTGTGATTTAAGGTCAATAAGTTGAAAATAATAGTTCTGTGATTTGCTGTGCTTTGAACTAACTGCAGATCAGTTCATTTACAGTCACTTTACAACCACAGTTTTTTTTTTATGAGCATCAACATGAGGTGTCTTGAAATACTGAGTTTAAGATTTATAAAAGTTGTCATAAATAATTTGTTTCATCTTTAATAAAAAATATGAATACACTGATGAAAGCTATGAATAAGGTATTGCAAAGAAAAGCTGTACTCTATTATTGCTATTTCTATGTTTTGTTCAAACCCTGGTACATGTGACAGTGATGAACAGTCATGATTTTAATGGTAACTGTATCATATATACTACACAGAAATGTATGTGTATATTTTATTACTGTTTGTTCTGTTAGATGGTCAATGCAGCTGCCAAAAATCAGGTTTACATTGTGTGTGTGTGTGTGTGTGTGTGTGTGTGTGTGTTTATGTGTTTATGTTGGATGTTTCAGGTCAGCTGTGTTTTGATCTACAGAATCAGGGGAAAGAGTCTTTGTTCTGTTAGACTACTGCACTGTTTCTACACTTGAACATCTAAATAAAAGTTTTACATTGTGGTCGTGCATAATGTCGATTATTCAGAGTGTGGAGAGGAGAGTATAATAACACGAGTGAACAGAATCTTTGTGAATATGAGTCATGTTCCAACCTGACACCACAAATACTGAATTACTGAGTATGTAAAGGTGGGTGCATCACTACTTTCAGCCAAGGAGATGATGTACTTTATAATTTATATTTTGTTAAAGATTTTTGTTCCAATTCTGGATGAATTGGGCTTCGGCTCCAGATCCAAGTGACAGCAGTTCGAAATGATGTTACCTGTCAGTGTCCAGCATCCGTCTGTATTCAGTTTGATTATTACTATAAACTTATATGGATGAGTTTATGTCCTTTATTCACTGTAACGTTTAACTTTTGAGAGAGCAGGATGAAGACAGCAGAGAGCAAAAAGAAACAGAGTGGACATGTGGTCAAAGTCACCGAACAGCATAAAGTTGTAGCTTCAGTATAAAGCAGTGTGTTATACTGTTATCAACTATGGATCATAAACCTGCCCTTATTATCATCATAATAATAATAATCTTATCTTAATTGTTCTAAGATGATATTTTTGTTATTTTCTTGTTCCTAGTTGAGTGAGGACGATGCAGAGAGAGAGGACAGAGAGGTTGTATAAGAACAGGAAGACTGAGGGAGCAGACAGTGAAGGCAGCTGAAAAACAAAATTAGTTTTTCATGTATTTCATGGAGACTTTGTTTTCCAGTAGCACACGTAAAACATGCCAGTGGACATTCTGAACAGGGGATATTGGTTTGAATAGCAGCATTTTACAGGATTCACTCCCAACATGGCTGAACATGATGGCTGCCACTACAACGATGTGACAGAGTACAAATCTGTTCTCCACTCATAAAACTGGAGCACACGATGCCCTGTGCTGTGTTTGCATGATAAAGGGAGGGTTCAATGAATTCAGAAATATTAATACGAAACAACTCTATTACCTGTTTGCTTCACGCACTGGTCTGTGGAGTGGCAGCGTGATTTTCCAGTGTCTGATTTTCCAGTACTGAATAACACCACTTAAAGTACTTGATGATTTGGTGGAAGCCTCTGTGTGGTTAAGAGACTGAAATACTGTTTCTTATATTATTGATTTGCCACAAGTAGTTCTTTAACTTCTTTAACAAGTCTTCGCTTGGGTTGGGTAACTAAAGGCTCCGCCCTAAAACAGGTGGATGAGATTACAATCACTGATTATTCACTCTGATTCATTTTTAAACATTACAATACGTCATCCAACTAATTAGGCTGCTTATGAAGGTAACGTTTTAATGTGTATCAAATAGAATTGAGGTTTGAAAATGTGAAAAGGGTTGATGACATTTGCAAGTAGCATTTTCTCTTAATATTAACGACAAGGTGTTAAAATGCTCAGCCCCCAATCATAATGCGTGGCGTTGTGATTGGGGGCTGAGCTCCCCTAAAAGTCTGAACCTAGAACCCCCCCAGTCTACTACATGAAGTCTTGCCCCCATAATTTTGATTTAGGGGCTTGTTGGACCAACTTCTCCTCTTATTTACTTATTTTGCTCTTTATGTGAAATAACAGTGGCATTAACCTACTACTGTAATTATGTTAGTCTTCATAAACTTTACACACTCAAAGCAAAAATAACTACACTAAGCTGTGTTGTGAAAGAGAAAATTAAACTGCAAATAGAATAACGAAACAGTTCCTGTTATAAGATTTTGCTAATGAAATTGAAATTAACCGCCACAGAATGAATGCACAGTTTTTTGGGGGTAATTGTGTCGGGATGAGAAAAGTCTGGGCTTCTCTGCTCAGGCTGCTGCCCCCGTGACCTGAACCCAGATAAGTGGAAGAAGCTGGATGCCATGTTTGAACTTCAGCAGGACGTTTCAACCGTGTCTACACAACTGAATGCATCAGATTGTTGCTTTGTGATTGGCTGATTAGAAATGTGTGTTAATGAGCTGTTTAACAGGTGTACCTAATAAAGTGTCCGTTCAGTGTATATGTATAACCTGTTTTCCTTTTGAACCACTGAGGGAAGCACTTCACCACAGTTTTAGTCCTTGTAGTGTCAATAAAACACTGTGTTTGTCCTCTGGTGACATTTTATTTGGGAATGTTTTCACTCTAAAGGGAGCCTAACAACACAGACACAATAGAAACAATAGAAACTTTAAACTACAAAAAGTCTGAGCAGCATGACTCATAAACTAAACATACTTCTGTGTGGAAGCAAAGGCAGAAGCACCCGACCTCTCCCCGCCTCCTTATTTCATCACATTTGGCAGACTTTACTTTCAGTTCTGCGGATAACATCAGTGGTTTATTTTAACCCAGATATTAGTGACGTTGGCACTGAGGATGGTTTTCATTGGCTCGATGATGCAGCTTTGACCTCAGCTTTGGGTCTCCATGCAGACCCACATAGATAATAAGATATTAGCTGTTAGATTATCGAGAGGTCACCATGAAACTGTTTCTTTTTTTGCTTCTCCTGGAAATACACGGCACTGTGGGACGTGAGTTAGAAATTTGTATCACTTACAGTAAAGTTTTTTAAACTTTGTTTTGCTAAGAAGGACATATTTAAGATTATTTTTAAAAAGGCTATTAATAGGTGTGTTTGCCCATGTTTAAATAAAAGCCATTAATATCTCTGCTAGTTCTGGGAAAATGCTTCAGGAAGCTTGATTAGCATCACTTTCAAGTCACAAACACCAAAAAGGTTTGTGAGTTTTAATCACATCAACGTATCAGTGACACCAAAGGACTTCCTGATTCCTGCACAGTTCAGGGTGTGTCGGCAACATTACTAACAGTGTAACATGATCCATTACTCATCATCTGTTATTAATCACATCAATTTAGACTCTCAAAATAAAGTTGAACAAAAATACAATCTGATATTTTCTAATTTTACAACATTTGAAAAGAGCCAATAATGAGTTATTGATTATTTGATTCATAATTACATCGGTATTAGTCTCAAACATAGTAAAAAAAAACCTTTGTGTTGGACTGTGCCATAGTTTTTGTTTTGTTCATAAAAACTGCCCTTAACTCAGCGCTGTTAGAATGATAATAGGATGATTAGATGAAATATGGACTGCATGCACTGTTTTTGTTGAGTCTAAAAGCTGAAACAGTAATTTTTTCTTACAGTGACTCGCTCTCTGAGATATTTCTACACTTCTTCCTCTGGAGTCTCAAACTTTCCAGAGTTTGTAGCTGTTGGTTTGGTTGATGATGTTCAGATGATTCACTATGACAGCAACACAGAGAAAGCAGAGTTTAAGCAGCAGTGGATGGAGAAAGCTGCAGAAGATGATCCAGAGTATTTGTCCCGCCAGACTAACAGGCTCATGAACACCCAGCAGGTCTTTAAAGGCAACATCGACACTTTGAAGCAGCGATTCAACCAAACTGGGGGTTTGTTTCTGTTTCACTTTTTTACTCTTAAAATGAAGCTTTTTATTAACCCAGCTGCTGACACTGAATAAAATCTCTCCAGGTTTTAAAGACCTTTGTTGTTACAGACTAGACTTGTAGTCAAGACCGCCTAAACCAAGACCAAGACAATACCAAGACCAGAGGGTATCGAGACCAAGACAAAGACAAAGACGAGACGAGACTGAGACAAAAAAGTCTTTACACTGTCTCTCACCCTCTCTTGTTTTTCACATAATGATAGTATCCTATATCCTCGCATGTGATTGGCCACAATATGGAGGGATTGGAGCATAGCTGAGCCACTGTGTGAGAGCTGAGCAGCGAAAGGAAATTAAGTGAGGAGCCGGCTCTCGCTCAATGGCAGTCCACTCTTCTGATTCACTGCAAAGCACTCTCTAAGCATGCTTTTGTGCACGACACATTATCGAACGTTGGTTTGTGTGTCATGGGTCCACAATCACTATCTGAGACAGCAAGACAGAGACAGCGAGACCAAGACAAGACCAAGACCACGTAAAAGTGTCTCGAGACATCCACCTCTATTACAGACACAAGCTAGCTTGTTAGCGCCCTTAATGGAAGCTTAACCAACCAAATTTAAAAAGCTGATTATGTGTATTTATGTAGTTTTTATCGAAGCTCTTCAACTTAACTCCCTCATCTGTGGGCAAATGTCAACTACTTCCTGCCCCTCTTGGTTTCAGGTGTTCACATTAACCAGATGATGTACGGCTGTGACTGGAACGATGAAACGGCTGAAGTTAACGGCTATCATTACTATGGCTATGATGGAGAAGACTTCCTATCATTTGACCTGAGGACAGAGACATGGATCGCTATAGTAATGCAGGCTGTAATCACCAAACACAAGTGGGACAGTGACAGATCTCTTTCAGGTGATCTGAAGAACTATCACACCAAGCTTTGTCCTGAGTGGCTGAAGAAGTACGTGAACTATGGGAGGAGCACTCTGATGAGGACAGGTAAAATCACATGACCTGATTTATTGTAATACTTTTAATTAAAAGGCCACATCCTGATCTTCTCATACATTTATTACCACTTTATCACATTTATGCTTTTCATTTTTCCTGTCCCAATTTCTGTTTATTTAACTTTTCTAATCACCATCACTGCAGCTTTTTACAGCACTCCCTTCACTCAGTTGTGTACTTCTTGTAATTCTCCCATTTTCTTAATTATTCTTTAAATGGCATTTATGTTAATTTGTGTGTCTAAAACATTCAAAATACATCAAATGGAAATGGTAAACTCAGTATGCTGTTATGAACGGTGATTTTTGATTCATTTTTTTATTTTTTAAATCTCTCAGAGCTTCCATCAGTCTCTCTCCTCCAGAAGTCTTCCTCCTCTCCAGTCACCTGCCACGCTACAGGTTTCTATCCTGACAGAGCCAAGATGGTCTGGAGGAAAGATGGAGTGGAGCTTCATGAGGGTGTGAGCAAAGGAGAGATCCTCACCAACAATGATGGGACCTTCCAGATGAGTGTTGATCTGGATCTTTCATCAGTCATACATGAGGACTGGAGGAGGTACGACTGTATGTTTCAGCTCTCTGGTGTGAACGAGGAAATCGTCACCAAACTGGACAAAGCAGCGATCAGGACCAATGAGGGTAAGACTGGAAAAAGAAGCGAGTAAAACTTATAAATACACCTTTGTTTGATCTTATTTGGGTTTTCCACTGGCCCCATGAGAAAGGAGGAAACTGGAAGGAGCCCTTTTCACACATGCTTAAAACAAACCAGGTGTTTGATAGAGATTAGGAAGCAACAGGACTAATCATTCAGTATTTGATTTTAATAATGGAGGATGTGGGAGTGAAAAAAAAACCCAACCAAACTGCTGATCCAAAACTTTCAACAAAAATCTAAATCTAAAATACACTCAGAGAACTCACACGAGAGAAGACAAACAGACACTAAAACAAAGACTGAAGGGCGGGAAGAGTGTTTGTATGCACATGAGGTAATCAGAGAGTGGGAAACAGGAGGGTGACGAGGCAATGCTGACAGAAAACTAAACAGATGAAACACTGAGTGAACTTAACGCAGGGACAGAAACAGAGACCCTTCAAGGACCAATAACACTCTGTGACTACAACACTAACAAGAACTAAAACACAAACAGGTCTGAAGGATCCACTAATGCAGCACAGGTGAAAATAAAGACCAGACAATAAACAGAGAGCAAAGGGAGCCCTCGGCAATCACACAAGAGCAAATAAAGAAAAAATAAACACAGCAGCAGGCCTGAGGATCACACACAGCTCAGATTACACTGATCTTCGTCTTTCATCATCATCACTGGGAGGTAAAAACTACAAACTTTAATTTTAATGTGGTTTTAGTGACCCTGATTTTTTTTTTCTGGTTTTATGTGATCTGTTTATAACATGGAAGAATCAAACCTGCTGTGATACTGTGTTCATTCACCTGTTGTTGATGACTGGCTCAGTGTAACTGCTAAACATCAAACTGTGATACAGTTTGATTATTCACTAATCTACATTAAAACATTGTCTGTGGTGTTTTATAGATAAAGGACTGGTGTGGTCTTAATGAACGTTGGTCCAACAGTGAGATGAACTACAGAATGTAAATGTGTTGGTTTCAGGTTCTTCAGTCTTCCCTGCTGGTGTTGTTGTCCGGATTATGGGCATCCTGCTCCTCCTGACTGTCTGCTTCTCTGCAGTCTTTATCTGGAGGAGAAAATATAAAGGTGAGAAATATGAAACACATTTACCTTCAACAGTTTCCAACATTTTGATGTTTATGCTCTTATAATTTGATATGTTTCATGTCTGTTACTTCTCATTTGATAAAGTTCATAATGTGTAAATATTTGATATTCAATCAAATGTTTCATACAAGTGGTGCAAACAGTGCCTTTATTCTTATGTGCTTTTGTATGTTTTGAATAAATAACTGTGTTACTGTCTGTATTTTCAGAGCTGCACTGACAGTAAGTATTTAATTTATTATATATATGTATATATATTTTATTAGATTTTCTTAAAAATAATTTTATTTGGTTTTTATATTTCAGATTTAAATGCTTATTTAAAATGTTTGAGACTTAAGATGTTTAAAAGATTTCTCTGTCTGTGACTCAGTGCAGCTTTAGAAAGAAATTTATCGCTCAACCATTTCAGCTTCGCATGAAGTCAGCCTCTCCCAGCTGAATGACTCAAAGGTACATCCAGGACGAGATGCCAGTCTATCTGAGAAAGAGAGAGACAACCACACAAACTCACACATGCAGGGAAAAATTAGAATTAAAATGATTAATTAATTTATGGTAATTAAATTATTTTAGAATAAACATTTAACCTACAAAAGGGTCTTTCTGTGTGGAGCTTATATGTTCTCCCCGTGTTTGCGTGGGTTCTCCCCGGGTACTCCGGCTTCCTCCCTCAGTCCAAAGACATGCAGTTACTGGGGACAGGTTAATTGGAAACACTAAATTGCCCATAGGCCTGAATGTGAGTGCGATTGGTTGTCTCTGTCTGTGTGTTAGCCCTGCAACAGACTGGCGATCTGTCCAGGGTGTACCCTACCTCTTGCCTTAAGACAGCTGGGATAGGCTCCAGCGCCCCCAACGATCCTGAAAATGATCAGCGGAAACGAATGGATGGATGCATTAAACCTGTCATGCATCTTTTTATACTGTGGATGGAAACCTACACCGTTACAGTGAGAACCTGCAGGAACTTATGATCAGGAGGCTTCCTGCTGCATCCAAAACGGAGAAACTGAAAATAAAACAAGACGTTATTTGGTTTTAATTTACAATGCAAGTCAGATTCAGTTTACACAAAGTGTTTGCACTGAAAACCTTTAGTTTTGGTGAGAGAGATCACTGCAGGAGCTCTCAGACAAAGCTGAGCACACACACACACACAAGTGCTTTTAAGAAATTAAAGAAAACTGATTTGCTCACGATATGATTTACAGTGTAAATAATATCACAGAATATGATGAGCTTATGTTAAGATGAACTGAAGAGGAGGAGAGGGACAGGTGCTGCTAGGGCAACATGCTCAAATAGCGCACAACTTCAGGTTTTTTATTTCTACATGATAATTCTGCATTATTAAGCAATAATAACAAGTAGTCTGATGTCCTGTAATCATTATGAAGCTATATTATTATTTTATTATTACAATTACATAATGCACTATATATTGTATTATGAAATACAATGAAAAATTACGTTTTTGTACAGAGTATCGGTATCTGATCAGTATCGTCGTTACCACTGTTAAGGTTCAGATATTGAGGAAGGAGAGTACAAACACCCATGGTCCAGAAGATCTTGGTCAAACAATGGTTTTAATGAATACACACGTGTGGGAAGAACAGCTCTGTACGCAGACAGCAATTGATCTTCAACTTAATCAAAGCATACACAGATTTTTATGGCATCAGGGTTTGATTAATGACGCCCCTTCATACGTCACAGATATATTTTATACATAGATCAGATCAAAACCACAATGACTTTTAACACAGTTCGAAAGAAGATCATCTTCTATTTTCATGGCCGGTACTTTCCTGTCTACCTTTCCGTTTTTGTCTTAAAGTAAATTGTTCCTCTTTTTTGCCGAGACAACAAGGAACGGTTCCTCTTTTACCGAGACAACTTTGCAGTTTCAACCAGACATGACTAACCTCTCTCCTCTAAATAAATCTAACTAATCTGTGTGTGTGTGTGTGTGTGTGTGTGTGTGTGTGTGTGTGTGTGTGTGTGTGTGTTGACCTCACATGCTCTCTTCATCTCTCACCTACTAACTGTCTGTGTCTTGTCCTTAAATACTCTTTCTCAATTCACCTGTTGCACTTCTGACCTTTCACTAGAACAGAGGCTCATCTTTATGTGTAATAACCTAACTGAAAATACATGTACTATGTTGAATAAATGTTTTAATCAAGAACCTCTACTAAAAGCTTAATATAAAATGACCTGATATAAGTGTTTTGTAAGCATGTATTGCAATCCATTCTATTGTTCTAGTTTTCCCCCAACATGTCTCATCTGGACACTCTCACCAGTGAAGCTTAAGACCCTTCAATGAACCTGAACATCAACTCAAATAAGCACAGATATGCATTGTGTATAAAATAGTTATAACTGCACCGGGAATACAAGGTTAACATCATCATAAACATCTTAAGGCCATCTTAAAGCTATCTGTTACATTGTTAGAGCAATGATCATGCTGCAGATTATATTATTAATGCAATGGTGATGATGATTCTTTAACAATAGCAGTAAAATAATTTCCCTGCTCCACACCACCCTGAATTTTACTTGGTATCTGATCGGAAAGCAAATCAGTGGTATCGCACATCACTACAGAAGTCCACAGGAGCTCTCCTTTAAAATGAAAAAAGGGACATTTTAAAATTCTTTATCATTAAAAAAAAATCACTGAAGCAGAAGCTAAATATAACACAAACATAACAGTTTGCCTCCAAATTTAATTAGTTTAATTAGTTTAGTTTAATTAAATAAACTTGCTTTTGGCTTTTACACCCATAACTCTTGTGATGTGACTCAAGGACACTTGGAGTACAGTAAAAAACAAAACAAAAAACAAGCCTTATAAGTGTTGCTGCCACAGAGCTGCCCTTGCTTGCTTGATCGCTGATCTAGAACTTTCTACGTGTGTAAGCGTGTGGGTGGGGGAGGGGCGCATTGACTGGGCAGGAAAATCAAAGCCTCCATGTTCCGTTTATAAATGGATGGAAGTAGAGCTAGCTAAACTGAGCTCACTAACATATCTGTACTGTATTACAGAGCACAACAACATCGCCTATAACGTGCAGTTTAAGCAAATTCAAGCAATGCAGACACATTACACCACCCTACGTCACTTAGCTTCTATGATGGCTGCCAGAGCTGTACCGTGTGTTATCGGGCGTTTTCCCGATGGGCCGGCCTCTGGACACTGGATTGCCCAATCCATCAACTGTGACTTTCTCCTGTGTGCAGTTCCCTCGTTATCCCTCAGTGTATTTAAGCCCCGTGTTTCTGTCTGTCACTGTTGCGTTGTACCATCATCCTACACTGTGTGTTCAGTCCATAAATCTGCCTAATTTATTTGTGTCATTAGTTTAGTTAGTTTTTTCCTTGTTCAGCAATAAAGCTGTTTTTTAAGTTTACGTTTTGTGTCCTGGAGTCTGAATATTGGATCCTTTTCCTGGCTTCCTGCACACAGCACATGACAAGGAATTTTAAAAATGTGGGATTTTATCACAGGACAAAAAGGGCCTGTGTCCGGAGAGATCTAGCAGTATACAAATTTATGAATCTGTCATCAATAATCTTTACGGAGAAAATATGGGGAGATCAGATCAGTCACAGAACATTATATGGATATTATATGGAAATGAATATTATAAAATATCTTGTAAAATACAAGATATACATCCCAAAGATCACAGATCTGGCAAAAGGTCTTTAAAGATTTGTCTGGAAACATTTTATATAATAAAATAAAATCTGCTAGCTCCAATGGCAAATTGGCAGGCCTTCATGTCAAAATATGAAGGGTCAGACACAGATCCTTCAGTGGAGTGTTTGTGTGTTTGTTTGTTTTTTATCTTGTCCTGCCTGGCAGCTTTTGCAATCAGAATAATGAACTGAATTAACGGCGGTGCCAAACCCATTTTGCTTCTCCAAGGTCTGTCATGAACTGGCTGTGTGGAGGCAGAAGAGGACCCAAACGCAAAACTCACGGAGACAGGAACTGAACTCAAAAATTACTGTTTTATTGCAGGAGTTGCAAAGAAACAGAACAAAACCGGGAATACCAACTGAAGACCGAGGGAACAGAAAGACACACAGGTTCGGGAGGAGACATTGACGACGCAACACTGACCTGAGGGAGACATGCACATAAATACACAGAGGGTTAACGAGGGAAGTGGGAACACACGGGGAACACGGCTGACACAGATAATCATAACGAGACAGGGCAGGAGTGAACATAACATGACGCATACAGGCGAGAGATTATCAAAGTAAAACAGGAAGTACACGGGGGTTCAGACAGGAGGAGAGAGAGAGAGCACAGGGAGAACACAGACATAACGGGCTGGGGAAAACATGGAATAAACACAAGGAGAGACGAGGGCTCACAAATACACAGAGGGGCACACAGGGTGTAAGAGTCACAAGGGGAAAACACTTAGGGAACAACGTAACAGGGCAACCCAGGAAGCATGGCCTAAATAAGGAACAAAATACAAAAATACATGAAACTAAGAATACTGGGCCAACATGGCCCAGGACCATGACAAGGTCAGGTCTACAAACACTCTATTGGCTCCTCTTGTTCATGTGTTTCTTTTATCTGTTTATTTATTCATTTCTATTTGTGTTACTTCAGTTATTACATTATATGTGGTATAGTGTGTCTAAGGCACGGGAGAAAAAAAGAAAGGGAGAAAAATCAAGAAAATATAATAAAAGGGTAGAGTACAAATAGAAAAGCACAATGCACTGCAAGCTGCTGCACCTGTAAAAAAAATCAAAGATACAGCACCTGGAACAAAAAACAGTGCAAATGCACAGATACACAAATCTATAACCTTCTTGTGGTGAGTGTGTGAGAGAGAATACCTGTGTCTTTGTCATAAAGGTACTTTAAAGGCACCGGTTTAGCTCAGTGGGATGAGCGACCCTGTGTTTTATGGCTGAGAACAGCAGGTTGAGTCCGACCTGTTGCCCCTTACCACGTCTCTCTCCCTCTCTCCCTGGCTTTTGTTTTTGTTTCAGTCTTAACTGTAACTTAAGGGCCGGAACCAGAAAAAGGCCCCAAAAAACAAATGTGCTTAATTAAATTAAAGTCTGGAAGCCACAATAATGCACCCCAGGAGCCAGAGGCAAACAGAGATGGAACCAGGACCACCGGGCCATCCATAGCCCCCAAGAATACTGAAGACCGGAGGCCACACATCTCAGCTACCTGCACGTCCATCACAGAGTAGCAGAAGCAGCTGACCTCCCTAATATTGGACAAGATCAGGAAGAACCCAAGAACCACCCGGCTTTGCTGGCTAGTCTAACAAAAACAGGGTCTCCTTTCTCATAACCAAAACTTGGTATGAAAAAGCTAATGGAAAACTAGGAGACTTCTGACTGGATAAGTGGAAGAAGATTGATGGTGGATAATGATTTCTAAAATAGAAACTGACCTATAACATGTCCCCATTTGCTATTTTATGCCAACAGGAGCTGTTACTGCTGTCAGAATAGCTTATCATTGTAATGATAAAGCTGATCATGTTGACCTCAACCAGAACCAACCAACAAAAATATGTCAAGATCAATGAACTAAGCCTGGATGAATTCTTGAATTCAGATAAGCCATCCCAGAAAATTTGAAATTAATTGTGT